TCTTTCTAATATTACAATTATACAATTTTGGTATCTAAGATTTTAATTGAGTAATTTTAATCTTTTAAATATTGTAATTATGTAATTTTGATCCTCAAGTTTTAGTTAAACAATTTTAATTTTTCAAGTATTGCGATCACACAATCTTAGTTTCTCAAGTATAAAAAATTGTATAATCATAATTTCAAGAGAATAAAATTATACAATTGTGATCCTTAAAATACACAGTTAAAAATTAAGGAGCTAAAATTACACAATTATGATTCTTGAGAGAGTATTTAAAATTGATGAACTTACTTTAGGGATTAAAAATGTATTTAAGCCCAAAAAAATATTTTTAGAAAAAAAATAAGAAGAAAAAAAATAAAACAATTGCTTTCATTAACTAAAATTAGCTTATGTATAAATTAAAAATAATTTTTTGAAAAATTAATATGAGAAATTTTTTACTAATTAGCTTATACTTAAGTTAACTTTTAACTTATAAAGAAACTTTTTTTAAAGATGTCATTATGAAGAAATTTATTCAAATAGATTACTCTTTCAATTAAAGGTGTTTATGAATTAAATTTTTGAAAAATTTAAACTGAACTAAATCAATCTATTTTTTTTTTTTTTATAAAGTAGATTAGTTTCAAATTTTTAAAAAATATGGATCATTTTTTAAAAATTGGATCAATTTCGTGTGATGTGATTATCCACCCTAAACTCGTGTATATATATATCAAATTGTTTAAAAGAATCAAACCGATTTCTTTTATAAAAATGAATTGAGTAACTAAATTGATTTTACAAAATGGATTAATTCAAATTTTTTTTCAAAATAAATCATATTTTTTTTAATATGAATCGATTCAAATCAATTTAATTTTTTTTTCTTCATACCACTACTTCAATCATCTCAAATACTCTCGTTTCATATTTGTTTGTATAAGTAATTAGGACTTAACAAAAACATATTGAGCAGAGTTTACCTCTATCTCTAACCGGTCCAAAATTTTGATCAAATCATTTATTTGAACTCAAATCTAACTTGATCAAGATACAAATAATATAAAAATATGACATTTTAACACAATATATAAATATTAAGAATATGCATAATTAAGTTGTAGAGTGAAAGAAGTAAAAAAAAAAAAAAATTAGCACATATACATTTTAAGAATAAATAATAATATTATAAATATAATATCATGATATTAAAATATGATTTATTAAAATTTGAAGTTGTCTAATCTTCTTTTAGTGGAGCTGAGTGATCAGGTGAGGTGAGTCTTGCTCACTGCTATTAGTGATGTTCCGACAGCACCTACAAAGCGAATGTTGCAAGGTTCTATCCTGACAAAGATCAATGCCTATTTATTGGACAAGTATACTGTTAAACACCGGTTATTAACATGTTAATGGGTGCAACAATTTTTTTTTACTAATAAATATAACATTTATGTAAGTGAGATCCATTTAAAATATGAGTTTCTACAAAAAAAAAAATATGAGTTAATCACATATATAGTGTTAGTATAATTTTTTTTTACATTTACAATCAATCATATATTTTAATAGTATCATGTCATTTACTTATTTAATTAAATAAAAATAAAATAAAATATTTTAAAAGAAATGATTGATTGTCGGTGTAAAAAATTTTACACTGACAATGTATGGATGATTAAGTTTTAAAATATATAGAAAGTATTAAAAAAAATGATGAACCCTATTCCTTAATTTATGCATGAAGGTATAAGGTACCTAATTAATATGCATATCCTATTACAATGTACGTTTTTTGGTGTGAAAAGGAGGCGAACGTATAGGAGGCCCATGAAAAGAGGGTGGCTTTGTTCTCAGCACCTAGCGTGTGTTGGGGTTACCATGTTACCCATTTACGCACACGATTGAATGGCAAACAAAACAAATCCTATGATGACAATACATACCAACGCCTGAATCCACCACTTTGTCCTTCTTCATACGAATCTACGCAACGCTTTTCTGTGCTATCATGCCGCGGATGATTTCAACAATATTCCAGAAAGAATTCAAAAATAATTAAAATTATGAGAGTTTTTTCACTTGTTTTTCATATAATGCAATTATTCAAGGATTAAATATCCATCAATATTGAATGTATAAGTTAATATGTTTTGATAATTTTTTTAATTTTTATATGTAGAGAATTACTTATATATATAAATATTATTTTAATAAGAATTTAAGAGAAAAAATAATGATTTTAATATGAAATTAATGATTTATTATTTATTAATTTGTTTAAAAAAAAAAAAAATTAGCACATATACATTTTAAGAATAAATAATAATATTATAAATATAATATCATGATATTAAAATATGATTTATTAAAATTTGAAGTTGTCTAATCTTCTTTTAGTGGAGCTGAGTGATCAGGTGAGGTGAGTCTTGCTCACTGCTATTAGTGATGTTCCGACAGCACCTACAAAGCGAATGTTGCAAGGTTCTATCCTGACAAAGATCAATGCCTATTTATTGGACAAGTATACTGTTAAACACCGGTTATTAACATGTTAATGGGTGCAACAATTTTTTTTTACTAATAAATATAACATTTATGTAAGTGAGATCCATTTAAAATATGAGTTTCTACAAAAAAAAAAATATGAGTTAATCACATATATAGTGTTAGTATAATTTTTTTTTACATTTACAATCAATCATATATTTTAATAGTATCATGTCATTTACTTATTTAATTAAATAAAAATAAAATAAAATATTTTAAAAGAAATGATTGATTGTCGGTGTAAAAAATTTTACACTGACAATGTATGGATGATTAAGTTTTAAAATATATAGAAAGTATTAAAAAAAATGATGAACCCTATTCCTTAATTTATGCATGAAGGTATAAGGTACCTAATTAATATGCATATCCTATTACAATGTACGTTTTTTGGTGTGAAAAGGAGGCGAACGTATAGGAGGCCCATGAAAAGAGGGTGGCTTTGTTCTCAGCACCTAGCGTGTGTTGGGGTTACCATGTTACCCATTTACGCACACGATTGAATGGCAAACAAAACAAATCCTATGATGACAATACATACCAACGCCTGAATCCACCACTTTGTCCTTCTTCATACGAATCTACGCAACGCTTTTCTGTGCTATCATGCCGCGGATGATTTCAACAATATTCCAGAAAGAATTCAAAAATAATTAAAATTATGAGAGTTTTTTCACTTGTTTTTCATATAATGCAATTATTCAAGGATTAAATATCCATCAATATTGAATGTATAAGTTAATATGTTTTGATAATTTTTTTAATTTTTATATGTAGAGAATTACTTATATATATAAATATTATTTTAATAAGAATTTAAGAGAAAAAATAATGATTTTAATATGAAATTAATGATTTATTATTTATTAATTTGTTTTTATCAAGAAAGGATAAGCTCAAGTAGACACTCAATGGTTGTTAGTTATATATATATTTTTGCCCATCTCACATTTATCATCTATCAAAGAAAATTACGTCAGATAATATTATTACGAGTAATAAAACTTTTTATCTAAATAATAAATAATTTTTTTGTTTGATAAGAAGATATGACTTATTCTCATTAGGTTAATTCCTTTAAGAGTACACTAGTATCTCAAGTTACAACTTATGCTCGAGATAAGAATTAAATCTCGATTAGTAATATAATTGCATACACAACATTCAATTTTAGAATTACTTGTTAAGCTAAAATATCCTCAATCATTAGTAATTATATGTTTTTCTTATCACTCTTTAGTTTTAGTTTTAATTCTTAAATTTTAACAACAAATTTAAATTCAAATAACATAAATTATTCTTTATCTTATCAACTAAATGGTATTTGATTCTAAGGATAATGATAACAATAATTTTGACATTTACGATAATAGTAACATGAAGGGTGGAAAATCAACAATTCAAACAATAATAATAATAATAATAACAATAATAATATATTTACAATTTTAATAAAATCAATAGTTTTTTATTTTTATTCTTGTAATTTTATATTTTCAAAATCCAAAGTCAATAGTTTTAGTTATTAACAATGTAAGCATAGTTCTTTTTGTAATTTCATTTGACTTTTAAAATACTTATAGTACAAGTTAACAGATTTATAATAATTGAAGGAGAATATAAAATTGCTTTGCATCATCAGTTTATAGTCTCTTTATATATATATATAAGATCGGAA